TAAGGTTATAGTTAAAGCCGTCAGTAGAAAACCGAAATAACTAGTTATGGTAAGCATGAAGGAGCTAAATGAAATATGTTCTTTTTATACATATGTTTATAAAAAAGCACTTACCTGAGTTTCCTTTTTTGCAAAATAGGAGATCAAAAAAATACCAATTGAAAGAATAAGTCCAATTGAAAGGTTTTGATTGATCTATCATTATAGACAACACTAACAAGGAGAAAGTCACAACTGTATAAAAAAAAATGGATTAATCATCTGTAACATCTACCCATACTGCCAATCAGCGAATTCATTCTTGGATAATTTTTCAACTCAACTTAGAAACGAATAATAAGAACTGGGTCATTTAATTTCGTTTTAAAATGAAAGTCTTTTCGAATCATTATGGAATGAAATTATTAAATTATTCCTCTTTTTATCATTTTTTTTATTGTATCGAATAAATTTTATATTTTAGAGCGAACAGTAATCTTATAAAACTTTTACTTTGATTTTAACTAATTAGATTCCGTAATAGGTTCACTTATATAATATCTTGAATGAATGAGAACAAAAAGTTATCACATGATCACTCGAAAAAAAAAAATAGGTGTTTTGGTTCAACTATATTCTAAGACTAGTCATTTCTATTCTATTTTGCTTTAGAAGTTCTATTTTGTATCTTTCCAAAAATCTGCATTTTTGTAGTTAGGTCAAGAAAGAACCTTCCGATTTTGATCTAATACAACACTGCATGCACTATTAGTGATTCCAATTATTTCATTCTTTGTTCTTTTTCGTTTATCGAATAAAATTTGCTATTCTTACTTGTTACTGGACGATTAACCAATTCCTTAAAAGAAAAAAAAAAGATTCCAACAAAAACCGCTTCTACAACTATGAATAACAAAGATTTATAGATCTCACATCTACTTACAATTGTGGGAATATTCTAATCAATTTCATGAATTATTAGAAACTACCTTATCAGATTCATATTTTACCTGATCCTCAGTTTCTAGCCCTAAACTCATAATGGTGAGAAATAGATTATTTTCAATTCAATAATTTTCTATTGAATGGGACATTATTTTACATCGATAAACAACAAGTAACGGAAGAAAGAAATTATTTAGCACCTCCTTCCAATACTCATTGAAAGTGCGTTGCTGTGTCAGAAGAAGGATAGCTATACTGATTCGGTATACTCTAAAGACGCCATCGGTACAATATTGACGATCTCACAAAGATTTTTTTCAGTGAATTTCCATTTACTGATCCATTCTTTTACGGAATCGATCCCCTTTTGATTGTACAAGAATATGTGGAGCTCAGCATGTCTGGAAGCACAGGAGAACGTTCTTTTGCTGATATTATTACCAGTATTCGCTACTGGGTCATTCATAGCATTACTATACCTTCCCTATTCATTGCGGGTTGGTTATTCGTCAGCACTGGTTTAGCTTACGATGTGTTTGGAAGCCCTCGGCCAAACGAGTATTTCACAGAAAACCGACAAGGAATTCCATTAATCACCGGCCGTTTTGATTCTTTGGAACAACTCGATGAATTTAGTAGATCTTTTTAGGAGGCTTCAATGACCATAGATCGAACCTATCCAATTTTTACAGTGCGATGGTTGACTGTTCACGGCCTAGCTGTACCTACCGTTTCTTTTTTGGGGTCAATATCAGCAATGCAGTTCATACAACGATAAACCTAATCCGAATTATAGAGCTACGACACAATCAAACCCAAACGAACAAAATGTTGAATTGAATTGTACCAGCCTGTACTGGGGGTTATTACTCATTTTTGTACTTGCTGTTTTATTTTCCAATTATTTCTTCAATTAAGAAAAGGAGAGAGAACTAAAATAATAGACTAATCGTTCTAGGTATTCTTTCTCTTACCCCATTCGGAAGGATCTCATCTCATAATTATCCATGACTATTTATGTCTCTAGCATGACCACTTGATGAAATGTGGAGGGAAGTGGGGTAAATGGCCGATACTACTGGAAGAATTCCTCTTTGGATAATAGGTACTGTAGCTGGTATTCTTGCGATCGGTTTAGTAGGTGTTTTCTTTTATGGTTCATATTCCGGATTGGGTTCATCCCTGTAGTAATCGGATGAATTGAGTTGTAGACATGAAAGCGTAAGAACTCAACGGATTCCCTTCTTTGTTTGTCTGATTTGAGGGAGAAGGTCCCGTTGAGTTCTTAATAATTAGAATATTTTTTTTTATAAGTTCATTGAAGAAGTTCTATTTACTCAACAGATTTTCCCCTCCTCTTTTATTTGTCCACCACTTTTTATTTATAGTATACGTAATTATTATAAGATAAGAATAAATAAAATACGTAATAACTATAAAAAAACGTTCTGATACGTCTGTAAGAAATAGAAACTAACACTAGGAATGTTTGACGAACAGTATCAAGAATCATTATTATTTCGACACAAGAAAAGGATTTTTCACACCCGTTTCTTGTGTCGAAGACTAGGAAGAC